CAAATGAGGACTTTATTTGCATAATTAATGAGGAAATTCTATAATTACAGTGTTTTACATTATACTATGTAACCTATGGCAGGCGGAACTTCAACAGATACTAATTATGCAAATGATGACCTAATTTGCATAATTAATGTGAAAATTCTATGATTTCGTAATGGTGAATGATGAGAATGTCATACTTGGGACATCTGTAAGTTAATCAAACGTTAACATACATCACGATGCATATATCATGTTAATGCAGAGGTCATTTGAACAATTAAAGAAGAAATTTACATTTACATATAACACAATCCAAATCTAAAGGGGAAAATCCAATTTATTCCCCTTTTTTCGTCTTGAATTTTGAAATCTTAAGACAACAAAATTTTGAAGGTGAAGCTTTTCAAACTGTAATAACAACAAGTATGATGTTTTTAAAAAAACACAGGCGACGATTTTGTGTTTAATCTGTTCCGTTCTTGATACAATTGTTCTTTTCATATACGTACACATATAATTTAGGCCACAGCTAGTAAATTTTATAGATGATATCCTCCGCAGACTCCAAATCTAATGCGAGCGGGCGAAAAAAAAAACAAGGCCGGCCAAAAAAAAAAAAGGTTCCTACAATGTGAAATGTACAAATGGTTTTGATTCAGTAGGAACATCACATATACACAGTCAGCATCACATATCACTGCATCAAAGCATGGAGGTAGAGAAAAAGGCCATTTTCTACCTCCATGATCAAAGTAAGAAACATACAATAAATCAGAGTCTTTTCTTGTCTCCTCTCTTCCTAGTTATCTGCCATCCACCTTCCGGCATGGCAACAGACATCTTTGCCCATTTTCGGCATGTTGACCACTGTCAGAAGGCAGCAAAAGTTCTTGTTTTTTTTCCAAAATCAGACGAAAATTAATGTGCTCGTGGATGTCATCCATAAAATTTACTTGCTGTGGCCTTAGAAAGAATCCAGAATTTCTGCTACAGTACGAGGAAAGCCACCAGGGGTCCAAAATCAGTTACATTTTTGTAGGCCCAGGCAAATTTATGTTGTGCGCTTAAAAAATTAGAATCGCTAGATAGGATTCACTCCTTTTTATTTGTCTTGGGGGCTACATGTAC